TGTTTCTTTGGGTCTGGCTTACTTTGCTTAATATAATTTTTTCCATGTCTTTCCATTTCCTTACAAATGGGAGCAATGCCATTCTTTCTGATGGAAGCATAGAATTGTGTATATATATCAAATTTTCTTGATCCATTCCTCCACTGAGGGGCATCTGGGTTGGTTCCATATCTTAGCTATGGTAAATAATACTGCCATGAACATGGTTGTGCTGGTGGTTTTAGTGCAGGCTGGTTTGTGGTCATTTGGGTAAATGTCCAGAAGTGGGATTGCTGTGTCACAGGGAAGCTCTATGTTTAGCCTTTTGAGGAACCTCAATACTGCTTTCCAGAGCAGTTGAACAAGTTTACATTCCCACCAACAGTTTAGTAATGTTTCCTGCCACATCCCTGGCAGTTTCTGTTATTATTAGTTTTCTTAATAATTGCCATTCTAACTGAGGTGGGGTAGAATCTCCATGTTGTTTTAATTTGCATTTCTTTTATAGACAGAGATGTTGAGTATTTCTTCTTGTGTCTATTGGAAGTCTATCTTTAAGTCTTCAGACCACTTATTAACGGGGTTGTTGTTTCTTTGAGGATTTGTTTTTGGGAGGTTTAAGTTTTTGATCTCTAAGTATATTCTAGATATGAGGCCTTGTGTGATGCATAGACCGTCTCTTATTCTGTCAGCTTTCTATTTATCTTGCTAGCAATGTCTTTTGCCATGCAGAAACTCTTCAGTTTGATGGATATGCTTCATTTCTAACAAGCCATTCCTAGTGCTTAGTAGACAGGTGGCTAGTAGCTGTTATATTGGATGACATACTTTCAGATATTCCATGAATAGAGAAATTTCACTAAGAGAGTAAAATGTAAGAACTACCCTGCTTTATGAACAGGGTCAAAAATGACTGTACATCTCTTTTTCCTCCTCTTTTTTGCAGCTTGTAGCTCAAAATAATGATGCTCAAACACACACCATCTGTAAGGCAGCTTCTGTGCTTGAGATAGAGAGTGTAAGGACAGCTCAGCTCAGTAAACATGGTCACTGGCCTGCCACAACATAAATCTAGAACATCAAGAAGAATTCTTTCCTTGACACCTCTACCTTCATCTTCTCTTTTGTCCCCAGATCCCTCCTGAGCCATACTCCCTACCCCTCCAAGTATAAACCTCTTTTCCTCGAATAACAAAGGCTCCAAAATTGCCTGTGCCATCTCTTTTCCTATATTGTGTATCCATCCTTTTACTGACCATCATTTCACTTCTTGTTTTTCACTGTGATGGCTTTTGTGATGCTGTGACAGCTTTAAGTTTTAGTTTTAGTCCATGGTTGGCTGGCTGTATTGCTTTGGTTCTGAGTGAGGTTGAACATCATGGCAGGGAATGTATAGTGAAGCAAAGTAGCACACTGGTGGAAAAGAAACAGAAAGAAGGAACAAGGACATAGCCCCCAGTAACACTGAGAAGTGAGCTACTTCCTTCAACTGGACATCACCACCAAAAGTTTCCATCACTTCCCAATAATGCCATCAAATTAATAATATACTTGTGTGTTAATTCAGTGATTAGGTTAGAGATCTCATGACCAACCTTTGAAAATGCTGCATTAGGTCCAAAACTTTGAACACAAGTAAGTGCCTTTTGGGAAGATATCTCCATAACACTCACTGTTAACAACCTCATACCTAATCTATCCTAAGCAGCCAGAATTATTGCCACTATACTCTAGTGGTTAAAATCATGGGCCGTAGAGAGCAACAAACCTAATAAAAAAGCTCTAATTTGATCATTTAAAAGCTGTGTGATATGGGGAAATAAAGTCATCTAATAGATAGAGTTTAGGTAAAAATAATCCCTACGTCTGAGTGTTACTGTAAGACTCATGAGTCAGATGAGACAATGGGTATGATAAACATAGCACAGCCCAAGACATGTTATAAGTGATATATGGAAGCTCTTATTAATAGATTATTTCTGCTCCATGCCCAAACCCTAATTTTTTTCAAAGTCCTTTTCAAGTTTGAGGTCAAAAGCTTTATTCTGTTCTTTTCATCTTGTTCTTGAGAACTCCAACATAAATATGTACTGATGTGAACTCCTAGTACAAGACAGATAGTGATTACTTAGTAAATTCTCTAATTAATTAATTGATGATTTAAAACAGAAAGGGCCAGGGAGAAACCTAGGAGAGGATGTTGCTGGTACCAAGCCCCCCCTCCCTCAAAACAAAACTAAGTTTGTTTGCAGTTATGGTGGACAAATTCTCAGTGCTTGCTGACATACATGCTCTCTATAGTTCTATACAAGTTTCTAGGGGCAACCACAATTGCCCATCACACTATTCTGTTCATTAACACATCCATTATAGACCTTAATGCTTTCCCTGAGCCACTTCCCTTACACTAATTTAAGTTTCTTAGAGCTTCTTCCCACATAAACTACCCACATCAAAATCCTTATCTCAGATTTTTGGGGGAACCAAGAAAAAGTCAGTACTAATACCACTATCTCCATATTGGACACCAAATATCACGTTAGGTCTTCTACTTGCATTATCTTCTTTCATATTCTCAACATTTTTATGGGTTGGGGCATTGTCATTTCCATTTTCTTAACAAATTAGGAATCTAAAACTCAAATATTTTGTTCAGGATTACAGATAATAAGTAATCCCAGGGGCTACTTCTGAGCTAATAATTAGACAGAGGATAGAACATTTTAGGATAAAACTATAGTAAGTATATTATTGAAAGTAGAATCAGAGAAAATTTGATCTTTCTTTTGGATTTAGCCAACATTTGACAAAATTAAGATACAGAAACAATTTGTTACACTGTCCAGGGTAACAATGATCAAGATGCATTGCAGTCATAAACTGACATGTTGGATTGAAACCACTTCACACAACTCCTTAAACATAATAAAAAATGTAAAATGACAGTAGGATGTCACTTAAATACTTTTTTTATAGCTCATTTTCTTTATTCTTGGAAATAAAGACCAGAAGATATGGCAGTAAAGAGCTACCCAAATGACTCTCATTCCATAAGAAAGTTTGAGAAAATGAACAGGATGTGGCCTCTATGACCCTGGAGAGAGAATTACACAAAGGAGACCTTTCTGGGTACTTAGGCACTGAACAGAAATATTTGGTTTGATGAAAAATATCGAGAAAAGTTCCTCTTCCATATTAAAACTCAAAATTGATTTCTTTTAAATCACCCCAAGCTACACAAGCTACATGCATAAAGGTGGTTGAATTATAATGTGAATTGACAAATCTAATATATGTAGATATGAAGATAGCTGGGAAAATGTTCAAGGAAGCAGAGGACAAAGATATATGTTTTCCCTCCACATAGAGCTCCCCTATGACCCAGCAATCCCACTTTTGGGCATTTACCCAAATGTTTACAAAGAAGACCACACTAAAGCTACCAGCAAGACTATGTTTATTGCAGCACTATTTACTATAGCTAAGATATGGAACCAACCCAGATGCCCCTCAGTAGATGAATGGATCAAGAAAATGTGGTATATATACACAATGGAATTCTATGCCTCCATCAGAAAGAACAACATTGCCCCATTTGTTAGGAAATGGGAAAACTTGGAAAAATTTATATTAAGTGAAGTAAGCCAAGCCCAAAGAAACATAGGTCCCATGGTTTCCCTTATTTGCAATAACTAGTATATGTCTGAGTCAAGCAGAAAAGGTCAGATAAGTTGATGTTAGGGAAATGAACCCTAAGATATGTACTCAAATGTTTTTTTTTCTTTCATGCGATTGTTTCTAACACATTTATAAGATTATTTCTTTATTGTTTTGTTTGTCCCTCCCCCACAGTATAACCCCTGCTTTCACTGTATTTGATGGCAGTATAATTTGTGGAGGGGAAGGGGAAAAAACAAATCGTTTAAATAGGGATACAGGTGGACCCATTGCAACAATGAGATGTACAAGTCGTTATGTTGAAAACGAACTTTACAACTTTGGTGGGGGGGGGGGGGCGGGGCGGATGGGAAGGGATGGGAAGGGGAAACAAAGGAGGAGGCTACAATGCTTGATAAGAAATGTACTCATTATCTTGCCCATGTAATTGTAACCCCTCTGTACAGTATTTTCACAATAAAAAAAAAGAAAAAGAAAAGATACATGTTTTCCATACAGGGAGGAAAACACTGCATGATTAATATCTTTCTTAGATTTTTAAGAACTCTATTAACCAAACTTGAGAATTCAAAGTTTTTTAGCTACAATTGGGGAGTTTTACCTAATTTAGCTGATATTAGCTGATATCGCTATTACTTTCTGTTATTTTGTAGTCTAACTACAACTCAAGATTTTAATTCTTGTAGAATAAAAAGATGGGGTATATTGAGGTGATGAGTTTGTTTATGATAGAGCCCCAGGATCCTTACAGGAAATACAATAAAGTCCAAATGAGAATACTTCATATGTATATTAAGCCTTGAGATTATTAGAGAAAAGTCTATCAAATCTTTGTTATATATTACATCTGTGGTGCCTTTTTCACCCTTGTAATGTCACATGAAATCATAAAGGACCAGCCAATTTGAAGTGGGCCATACTATTTCATTTTTAAATGGTCGCTTTTAAATGGTTTTCACTTAGAACGTGAAAGTAATACATCATGTTGTTTACTGTAAATTTATTAGCTTGGCCATGAAGTTGTTTTGAGCCCTAGAAAAGATATCTGCTCTCCAGGCAAGCTTTCATAGTATGCCCTCTAATTCACATTTTAATAAATGTCATTTCCGAAGTGCATTACCTCATGTTTTGGCTACAATCCAGAAGAGCCTGAGAGAATAAGAAAAATATGCTTTCTGACTGATTCATCCATATTTTATTTTACTTTTCATTAAGAAATTACTCCTTGAAAAAATCAATAATCTTCTGTGACTGAGGAGGGAGGTTAGCGTGTTACTATCTCAAACCAGACTGCCTTCAGCCAGATATTACTGATGAATTTTTGTCCTTTCTTGTTCTTGCAGCCTGGGTACATGGAGATCCCAGAAGAGTGGCTTATCCTACAGACAGCCAGGGCCACTTCTGTGGCCAGAAGGGCACTCCCAATGAGTGAGTATGGCCACGTTTACTTTGTGTGATTTTACTGTCTGAACTGGAGTCACTCACATTAATCTCACTGGACTTCTTAAGAAGACTAAAATTCATGACAGAGGCTTTACCTCTGTCTTTTCCTACAGGTAGCTATAAGCAATTTGCAAGTGTCATACTATAGGACTTTAAATATGGTGCCATTGTTATGTAGCACTGTATTAGTAAAACGTATAATTTTGAACAGAGTGGTGATAGCTGTCTAGAAACTCATCAACTTGAGAGGAAACACAAGTTGTGAGTTCAGGGCCACTCTAGGAAAAGAGAGAAGAGAGATCTTGTTTCAAAAACACAAAAGCCAAATTGGACATGGGTGGCTCACACTTGTAATCCTAGCTACTCAGGAAGCTGAAATTGAGGATCATAGTTCAAAGCCAGCCGCAGTAGTAAAGCACATGAGAATCTTATCTTCATTTAACTACCAAAAAAGTTGGAAGTTGAGCTGTGGCTCAAGTAGTAGAGTGTTAGTCTTGAGCACAAAAGCTCAGGACAGCACTTAGGCCCTGAGTTAAAGTCTCAAGACTGGCACAAGAAATAAACATCCAAAACAAAAACAAACGAAACACAAAGCCAATTACCAATTACTCATGTCTGGAAGTTTAGCTTTCCTGTAGGTTGACATCTGAAGGATTGTGGTCTGAAAAGCCAGTCTAGGCAGGAAGGTCCAAGAGACTTCATCTGCAAAATAATCCGCCAAAGATGCAGCTCAAGTGGTAGAGCCACCAGCTGTATATGCAAAGCTGAATAAGCTCCAGGCCCTGATTTCAAAGGCCACACACACACCCACACACACACACATACACACACAGACACAGAGCATAGATCAGGTGGTTTCACATGCCTAATAGGTGAAAATCTCAGGATTCAGTTCCCAGCACAGAGAGAAGGGGTGGGGAGGGGGAAGAGGAGAAAGGGGAGAAGTGGGGAGAGGGAAGTAAGAGACGGGAGAAGGGGGCGGGGGAGAGGGGACTAAATACACACACACACACACACACACACACACACACACACAGAGTCTGAAGGATAGATTAGACCAGTGGTTATTGTAGAGCAGTTGTTTGCTCATTTGGGTCAAAGCTCACTGATTTATTATTCCATCTTCAAAAGTAAAAGGCACACCCAGAAGATCTGTGGTGATTGGTCTGTTTTGAGTGCTGTGGACAGTGTCCTAGAGTAGGGGAATAAAGCAATTATTTTCCAATCGTAGCAGAAGTTTCTATTTTTTAAAAGGCATGTTTTTTTATTATTTTGTCTAAAATAACAAAATATAAATCTCACATTTTAAGACTTTTTTTCTTTTCTCAGTAATCATTTCTTTTATTACTTAAGGCTGTTGCTAGATTTTGTGCTTCGTTGTAAGTAATTCAGTTCCTAGAAAAGCCAGTTTCAGATATTAACAAACAAACAAAAAGCTCCCAATCACAACAAAGAACATGATTCAGAACACTATAGTTTTGTTTTGTTTTAATGGTGTCTGCTCATCACTGTTATAGTTTTAAACATAGATTTTTAAAAAGAGTTCATAAAATTCATAGCTATTGCAGACAAAGAAAATTCCAAAAATTTGGAGGAGGGATAAATAAATCCTTAATCATGTCAGACTGAATTTATCAAAGAAAGTTTATTTTTATAAAAGGTCATCTGCCTATTGGAGAAAAGTAAATTCTGATTCAGGGTAGTAATTCTATTTTAGCCTCAGTAACTTAGAGAAATGTTAAACATTTTCAGCAAAATGTTCACAGGATGAAGGACAAAGAAATCACCAGATAGTGGGGGGAAAAAAATCTTATGAATCTCTGAATCTTTAGTTCTTTAAAAGAGACTATTTTTAAAAGGGCTTTTGTAACTATGGGTTTTCTAGACCTAAGCCAATGACCCACTTCTTTCAAAAAAGAAAAAATGTGACACCACTAATTTCAGTACGTAAAGATTATTCAAAAATAAACTGCTTAGTAGACAAACATAGTCATTTTTGTTTAAAATAATAATAATATATTGGTAACTAAACAGATTTCCAAAAATATGTGGATGATAATAAATTTTGATTCATCCATTTAAAGAAATAAAATGAAGCCATTGGGAATTATATTCATATTTTTAATAGTTGATTCTGTAATGGTCCTTTGTAGTTTCTCTGTTTATATATATATATTTGTGTATACACACAAATGTGTGTGTGTGAGATGATGATGATGACAATTTGCTTCTTTCTCCTGAAATTATATCCTCCTACATATCACTGGTATTTTCATAGCTTCCTTTTATATATTTAAATTGCTAATCTAGTGGAAACTTATTTTATGTGTATTGAGTAGAATGAAATAGGAATTAAACTTAAATTTTCCTCTAATTGCAAAGTAAATTATTTGAAACTGATTTGTTGAATAATATGCTTTCTATCCCTCTAACAAAAACCTAAGCCGGGTGCTGGTGGCTCAAGCCTGTAATCCTAGCTAGAGGAGGCTGAGATCTGAGGATCACCTTTCAAAGCCAGCCCGGGCAGAAAAGTCCATGAGACTCTTATCTCCAATAAACCACTAGAAATCCAGAAGTGGTGCTGTGTGTCAAGCTGTAGAGTGCTCACCTTGAGCTGAAGAGCACCAGGATAGCATCCAAGCCCAGAGTTCAAGCTTCACAACTGATAAAAACAAAAACAAAAAACAAAACAAAACAAAAAAACTAACAAAATCACAATATAATATTAAATTTATATTTCTTTATTTCTGATCTTTCTAACATGTTCTAATATGTGTGTATATTGGAATATAATTGAAATTTTTGGTAAGAAAATTACTTTAACTAATTTGAACATTAAGTAAATTACTTTAAGCATAAAATAATCTCATTAAAATTTGTGAAAAAGTAAATTTTAATGTTAAGTTTATAAACATGAATTTAATTGTATAAAAATGTACTTGGGGGAACTAGATGTAGAAAATGCAATGGAATAATATTACCAAAACACTATAAAGCTATTATAGAATTATACTGAAATTAATAAACCCAATTACAAATAAAAATTTGGGATATGATGAAGATACAATTTCAATAACAGCAGAAAACATTCATTTTCAACTACAGTGGCCAAAGCCATTTTACTTTATTTATTTGTTTGTTAATTTATTTGGTTCTAGTCGTGGGGCTTGAACTTTTGCCTGGGAGCTGTCTTTGAGCATTTTGGCTAAGGCTAGAACTTCACCTCTTGAGTGACACGGCTACACTCTTGTCTTTTTGGTGGTTAATTACAGATAAGTGTCTCATAGACTTTCCTGACCAGACTAGCTTCAAACTACAATCCTCAGATCTCAGCCTTCTGAATAACTAGGATTGTAGGAATGAGCCACCAATACCCAGCCTATTTTACATTTTTTTCTAAAGACAATTCTTACTGCTTCTTTATACCTTCTGCAGCTGTTTCAATTATCACAGTAAAAATGTATATAGAACAATATTCAGCTTTTCTTCATTTTGAAAAAAAGGTGGATGATGATAAATAAATAAATAAAAAGTATAAAAAATAAAAAGTATTAAATTTAGAAAGTTAAATAAATGTGTGTTTGTATGCTTAAGTGAAATGCATATTTATCAGTATATGTAAATAAATAATTTATGCAGCCTCAAAGTAGGACACATACGTACTACGACATAACCATGAAAGTATTTCCATTCTTCAGTATTATGGTGACCTTCAATTTTCACTTCTGCAAGGGGTTCTCTCTAATTGAACTTAAAATTCCACATTTAGAAAGCATGTCATCCTATTTGGAAGGTAGAATCTGGCCTTCCCTGCTTTACCAAAAGGAATCTAGGAGAAACACTGAGATTTTCTGAAATATCAAGACAGACAAAGCAGAGACTTCAAAGGAAGCCAAATGCCTGGTAGTTGTGAATGTTTTTTTTCCTGCTTTTTTCAGCTTAGGGGAAATTCTTCATGACACTTGGGTTGGGGTTGCTTACTTTTTTCTTGAAATTTCCCCTAAAAAGGCAAGAACTTGATTGATTCTAATGCCACCTTCTGGCAACTGTAAAAACTTCAGCTTGTAAAGATTATGCTAAAATGACTTTGAACATGAATACACCACCATTACCAAACTACAGCTGCCTGAAATGCCGCCTCCATCTGCTTCCCCAGTGTGAGTTCCGATAAGAAGGAAAGGTTAAGAGGACAAAAGTTCTTCCATCTAAGTGTTCAGTATGGCTTCCAAGTGTACGAACTTTTCACAGGATGGCAAGTGTGTCCCCTCAATCTCTAATCAAACATCCTGCAGTCTATATGCCCCTCATGGCTTAATTATGTGATATGGTAGAAAATAAAACAGTAATAATAAAGAGCTAATTATAAAAGTAATGCTGTCCTGTCCTAAAACTTTTCATTCACAATCTTATTGCACAGTCATTTTTTTTCTCTCTTTCTCTGGTTTTAGTTTGACTGTTAGATTTTAAACTATATTTTTCAATAACATGCTTGTTATGTTTTCTACTTTATTGTTCAATAAAAATACTTATTCTGAATGAAGATATATTAATCCAAGTTGTGAATATGTACTTCCTAAACTTGGGGATGGATGATTCAGGCTGTGTAATTTGGTAATGGTGTAAAATTAGGCATGTTCAAAGTTATTTTACCATTGTTTTATTGATTAAGCTTGAGATCCATTGGCAGCCTGCTTTGGTAAACAAAGATTTAACTTATTTGCATTACATTACTCCTTTGCTGATTCACCTTTTCTTGTCTTTGATTGGAGGATACTATCTCCCGCCCTACTCTTGTCTTCCATTTTTCTTTCCCTTTCCACCTTCTAGCTTCTATATGCTGGGCTGATTTCAGAAGTTAGAAACAAGAAAGGGTATTTAAATTTTGTCCTAAGGATGTAATTTTTATTGATTACCAGACCACTATATTTAATTTTTTTCACATTTCTGATATTAAAAAAATCAAACCTGGTATGTTAATAGTTACA